TGACAGTCTGTAACTCTCAACCTCCAGCCTATACATGATAAGATCAAGATCTTATCTAGAAGTTTCTCTGAAGAGCTGATCCAGTTCCCCAGAGGCCAGGTGACAATTTCAAAGCATACTTGGGCTTGAACCACCCTGAAAAGACTGAACCGAGGGGCCCTGGGAGCTGGAGGGTGTGCTTCCTAGAGTAAGAATGGAGGCAGAAGCGTGGGAGGTCATCCCTGCCTGCCTTAACCCTGATGGGGTTCCTAGGTCTCTAAGGCGCTAACGAGTCCCTGTGTGCCCCACGGGTCACCAGGACGCAGTGAGGCAGCTGATACTCTGTGCCCATCACTTCTCAGCTAGGATGGCCCCTTTCCTGCTCAGTTCTGCAGGGGATGGGGAGCAGGCAGGGAAGGAGACATCCACTCCTACCCGGAGCCCACTGCAGACTCCTGGACCATCTCAGGTTACATCTCAGCACTGAAAGGGAAGAGGGGGCGGGGTCATACATTCCAGATTATCCTCTGCTCTGAAGTAAGTTCCAGGCTATAGGCTACACTAGACCCTGAAGGGGAGGGGGCGAGGAGGGAGGAGATTTCTACTGAATCTACCCCACCCACTAGTTAGGATTGCCTGAGCAGACCATGGCGTGGTTAGCAAGACTTCCCAGGAAGACTAGAGAGACAGCTTGGCCTCTGAGGGCAGGGTGATGCCCAACACCACCTGTAAGGGCCGCCTGTGAATATGGCCTCAGGCTCCTCAGCATAGCCATCACAAGTCACGTGGGACTGGGCACCTGAGAGCAGGTGTGCCATCTCCCATCAGATTCCTCTCCATTGTCTCCTTTCCACTAAAACCTCCATGTGCTGTGTCTAATGGCAGAGCCGGATCACGTGGTATTCAATGGCCGGAAAGGTTCCGAAAGAGTACTTCAGGGTCTGCGAGATGGCTGGGGTGAAAGGGCTTGCAGCCAAGCTTAAGGACCCGAGTTGGAGCCCCGGGACCCACATGGTAGAAGGAGAGAATGAACTCCTAAAATGTGCCCACCCTGTCTTACATAAACACATATATGCACACTTGTGCGCACACACACATAAATAAATACATATAATAAAGATTAACACAAATTTTAAAAAGTCAATTCTAAAAAAAGAGTGTTTCTCCTATAGAGAGGTTGTTTCCACAATGTGGGCTGTTTTCATACAGGACAGAGATGCACTCGCTGCTGCTCTGCCAATTGATGACTTATGATTATTTTTGTTGTCTAAGTTTCAGTAGAAACATCTTTGATGACAAACAGAAGCCATTTTGGAACAATATCAATGCCTCTCCCGCCATCACTATCGATTCCTACTAAATTCTCTTAAGAGGTCTGTAGAAAACCCTGGGACCCAAGGGGCCCCATTTCAGGCTTCTGGAGACAGAAGAATTCTAAGTGGGTGAGCTGGTATGGGTGCCAGGAAAAAGGCTGAGAACATAAACTTTCACCAGTATATGGACTGTTGGCGTGACGCAGGGGTGGGGCAGAGAAACCTGAAGAACTGGTGCTCCTCTCAGCAATCTATAGGGACAAAACAAGGGGCTTTTGGGAGGTTGGTATCCCAGAGTAGAAGAGAAAATGAGTCTGAAAATGGCATTTTCTAGCTTGGGATAACTGCAGATCTGGATGCAGCACAGAGCAAAAGGCTGAGAAAAAAAAAACCAGTTTTCCAAACTCTTGCCATATTTAGGGGGTTAGGTCATAGGGGCAGGGAGAGGGGACTTCTTGAACAAGGACGATGGTGTCACATTGAAACAGAAACACACCCTTCACCCAGCTTGGTTGACAGAGCTGTGATCATTCCCCATGTCTCTTCAGGGCCAGACAGTCATTTAGAGACTCTATATATGTCTCACACACAATATCTGCCACCAAACAAAAATTCAACAAGGCTCACTGATAGGACCAGATCATTAAAAACAAAGAGAAACATAGTAACTAGAAAGCTCCTCAAAGGTGGAGAGATGCTGGGGTCAGAGGAAAGCAACCGATGTTAATAAGTTCAAGGGAAACAAAGAAGAATGGAGAAAATAGGAGGGCGACAACTTTGTGGTAGAACTGGACTCTGGAGACTTCGAAGTGCTTAAAATTGGTTGTTTGGCCTCATTATGGATAGAAAGTGTTCTGCATGTGTGGTGCTGGGGATGGGGTCCAGGGTCGGGGCATGCTGGGTAAAACACTCTGCCACTGAAGCACACACCCAGTCCACCAGACATTTGGAACATACAGATGCAACTCTGTGTGAGTTCTAAAGCCTCTGGCTCCAAGTCTACAAATCAATTTGATCCAACTTGGCCACCAGTGGTGTCCTCTCTCTTCATGCCACAGGTGGCTTGCTGGCTTGCTCTAGGGATGACCAACTTTAGCGTATGTTCTGAATCTCACACTGCTCTTGGCTGAGCCCTCTAGAATCCCAGAAAAAGGGAGAAAAGAATGCCTTTTGCTAACATGTTCTCTCTCTGGAGGGAACGGTAATTGTTCTCTGTTGCCAGGCTGACCTCAAACTCCTTTGTTCAAGCAGTCCTCCTGTCTCAGCCTCCCAAAGGGCTGGGACTTCAGGTACATACAGGCCACACCAGGCTACTCATTATTAAAAACACAGCCCGTAGGCAGTTCATTAGGGATACAACTGGATCTGTCCGTCAGAGATGGGAGGCCTCCTTGAGACATTTGACTTCACCCTGAACGACAAGAAAAAAGTCAAAGAGAAGAGAATTAGGGGGAAGTGTGGTCTGGGCAGAGTGTGTATGGAGAACACCGATTTAATCAGGAGTTGGCATAGCTCCCTGGAATGAGCCACAGAGTAAATATTTTAGCTCCCATGAGCCATGCCATTTCTGCTGCAACCATTGGCTTTACAACAGGACAGAAGTAGCCATGCACCATTCATGAGTGGGTGGTAATTTTGAGGTTGCAGCCTCTCCAGCTGTCCATGTGCTATACTGATGGATGCTATTCTCCTAATAAAGAAACCTCCTGGGGGTAATTCATCTTCGTTCCTTTCTAGCCAAACTATAATATAATCTTTTTTTTTTTTTTTTTTTTTTTTTTTTGAGACAGGGTCTCACTATGTAGCTCTGGCTGACCTGCAGCTAACTATATAGACCAGATAGACCAGCCGGATGGACTCGAACTCCCAGAGATCCACCTGCCTCTGCCTTGCTAGTGCTGACGTTAAAAGTACGCATGCCATCACGTGCGGCTAAGAAGAAAAGTGATATCTTTATTATTACTTTATAACAAATTGGTGGAGAGTACTCTGCAAGTACTTCAATTCCTGGAACCCAAGGTGGAAGGAGAGACTTGACTTCACAAGCTGTGCTCTGACCTCATAGGCACGCTGCGGTGCACGTGTCGCCCCTCCCCCTATCAATTAATAAAAGCATATCTGTTAACAGAGGCACTCCAGTAAAACTTCATTAGCTGCAGAGTAAAATGTGAATTTCTTGTATCTTCCCCTTTCTTGTCACAACGTATCTTTCCCTGCCTGCAACGTCTTTAAAATGTACACCGGTGTTTTCTACTCCAGGACCCTAGGCGGCTGACAAAGGGTAGCGTTGGTAGCTGGAGTTACTCCAGAGAGGCCCTTGTGGGACAAACTAGCAATCGGGAGCAAGACAATGCCTCCTGTCTCTCTGCAAATGGACCCTAGCTAGATCGGGCCCAGGTAGTCGTCGTTCCCATAACCGCCCCAACTCAAGGAAACCCATTAAGCCCTCCATCCCCACCCCTGTCCCCTGCCCAAGCCACAAGAAGACTCCGGCAAAGTCAGGCAAGGCGCACAGACTCAGAGTCCAGCAAGCCCGGCGCGCACCTGCTCCCGGGCCCCCCGCGCACCTGCTGAGCCGCGCTCCGGCCTCGTCTCGCGAGATCAGGGCTGGCGTAGTGGCCCCCACCCCCACCCTGGCCACCGAGTACCTCTCCCCGCCCCCGGGCCGGGCCTCCCCGCCACCTAGGGGACCAGCCCGACCCCCCCCTTCCCACCCCCACCGCATCGTAGCGGCTGCGCTCCACACGCGAGCCCCTCAGTCCCTAGGGACCCCGCCTCCCAGGCTGGAGGGTGGCCCGGTGGGCAGGTGCACGCGCCGCCTGCCGCCAGCGGGTCCCAGGCGCGCCCGGGGTGGGGGGACCCGGGGACCGGCTGCGCGCACGGCGCCTGTCGGCGCTGCATCCCTCGCTCCGCTCTCCACCCCGCCCTGTGATTGACAGGCAAGATGTCGGTGTGGAGCGAGGCAGGCGCCTTCACCCCTGGAGCCCAGCGGCAGCAGCAGCAGCGGCGGCGACAGCGGCGGCAGCAGCAGCAGTGTTATCGCGGGGAGCAGACCGCAGCCAGCCGCAGTGGGCGCCGCAGCCGCGCCAGTCGTGCGCACAGCATCCTGAGAGTGCGCTGAGCGTGGAGACCCGCGGACCATGCCGTGTCACCGCGACCGGGAGGGGGGCAGGCGCGCTCCTTTTTGACATAAAATCCAGCCGGCCAAAAAGATTTATATACATATAAGTCCGCCCTTCACGGAGCCGGTGTGCGAAGCGTGAGCTCTATTTCCCTCTGCCTCCTCCTTCTACTCCTCCTCCCCTTCCTCCTCCTCTCCCTCCTCCTCTTTCTCCTCCTCCTAAGTGTACAGACTGCACCCTACCACCTGGTTGGCTTCTGACAAACGGGCATCTCTCCCTTTTTAGGGACCAGAGACACAGAGAAAGAGAGAGGAGAGAGACAAGGGACATTCTAATGCAGACTGCCTGATACTCCCCCCCAAAAAATAATAATAAATTTTGGCTCTTGTCCCCTCCTCCAACCCCCACCCCCTCAAGCTTGTGTGAGATGTTGGGTTTCTTCAGGAGACACTGCTGAGAAGTCGCAGTGGTTGGAGAGGCGTAGGGGGGTGGACTCCCTCTACCTCCACTCCCTCCCTCCCCCTTTTTTCTTTCTGGGAGGAGGTGGAGGAGGAGGAGGAGGGGAAGGGGGGTTGCAGAGCAAGCGATGGATGAGGAAAACATGACGAAAAGCGAAGAACAGCAACCTCTGAGTTTGCAAAAAGCCTTGCAGCAGTGCGAGCTGGTTCAGAACATGATAGACCTGAGCATCTCCAATCTGGAAGGGCTTAGGACGAAGTGTGCAGCTTCCAACGACCTCACGCAGAAGGAGATCCGGACCCTGGAGGTAGGTGTTGCCTGGGATGGGGGGGGGGCAACCCTGCCTTCCTTTCCCTTCTCCAGTCCTACCCCATCCCTTTGGGGTTCTGTTTGCTGAGGGAGGGCCTGGGGAGGGGAAGGGTGAAGCAGGTGGGCACCAATGATGCGCTATGATTTATCACCTGGCAAAGCCAGCACGGATGTCCCTTCCCAGTGCGGCTGTTGTCTGTGCTCGGCCGGGTGGCGGTGGTAGCAGTAATAATTGCTGTTCCGTATTTATTATTATGGGTTGTAGCTGTTGCCATGATTATTCTTTCCTGTGAGAGGAGGGAGTTTTACTTTATTATTATTTTCTTTTCTTTTTCCTTTCCTTTTCTTTCCTTTCTTTTTCTTTTTCTTCTTTTCTTTTTTTGCGTTTGGGGATTTGTTTATATGCCACGGGGCGGGGGGGGGGGGGCTTGTGTGCTGATGGCACGGTAGGGGCTGCAGGGAACCCACGTGACCTTGTGCGTTCTGCAGGTGGTCAAAGGTGGTTTTGACTGGTTTGATGAGGCTGCCTGAAAGGAAAGACTCGACCCTTTGCTCTGAGTTTCACCCGTAACCCCCCATATACACAAGATGCATGACAAAAAGTCCCCAGGGAACTACCCGTTTCTAACACAGTCATTTGATGCAAGGGGGTGAATGCAGGCCCAAAATGTGTACAAAGAAACAATATTACGGTTGCCTGGGTGGTTCTTGCACTAGGTGGCGTGGGGAAAATCCTCTTGAGTTGTCTTGGTGAGACTTGGTGGATGGGGGGCCAGGGGGAGGAGCTGTGTTTGGCTCTTAATAGCATCTCTCCAACAGAACTCGAGTGGAGTTGGGAGCAGTTTGCTGAGAGACAGTGACAGGGATGGCTACAAAGTCACCACAAAGAGGTGGAAGGAACTACTTTCCTTCGAAGGCCGTTTTCTCCGAGGAAACTTTCAGGGTTATGGGAAAGGCCTGGTATTCTGAAATCCTTGGGTGTCCACCTTGTTCAAAATGTCAGACAGATCCAGCCCCCTCACCGTCCTTCCCACAAAACGGCCCGCTGTCCACAATTTTTGATTTAATTTGGGAATTCCCACGAGCTGGCATTTGCCAGGGGGTGGTGGCCATGGAGATCAGAGCAAAGGAGGGTTCCCCTTTTAGTGGTGTGGTCATGTATCATGGAGCTTGGTGGTTTGGTTGCTCTCTGGCTTGTGAGTTCTTGAAGCCTGAAGTCTTGGCTGGCGGGTCATCTTAATGCACCTCTCTGATTCACTTTTATTTCTCCAGGGGGTTTTAAATTTGGGGAGGTAATCAATACGCAGGAGGTTATCATTTGGAAAGAGGAGTTTGTGCGTGTAGATTTTAATACAGCGCTTGCCACCCTCGGATATATGTCTGTGCTCACCTGTCAGGCGGTAACACGATCCCAGAGATGGAATCAGATAAACAGCCATGTGGCATGTGTGTTGGGAGGCACAGGCGTTGCCTTTCTCAGGGTTTTGAGAGCGAGAGAAGGCTTGGTTAACGTTTGCTGCTGGAAGAAAAAGTCTGGGATGTGTTAGCCCAGCCCTGGTCTCTGCACGGGCCCACTGCAGATTGGTTCAGAGCTATACCTGGGAAAGCTTATATGGATAACCCCTGAAGGCCACCACCACGTCTCCTCTAAAAGAACCCGTCATGCTGGGATCATCATTGTAGTTTAAGTTTCTCACAGGTTCCCTTCTATTCCGTCCTCTGATGATTCCCCGGAGAGTAGTGACCGACACAGCTGAGCACTCGGGCTGGGATGTAGCTCAGTGATCCAGTGCTTTTGTGGCATGCCAAGGCCCTGGGTTCAATTTCCAACACTGTGCAAACACACAAACCAAGAGTGGGTACTTGGTTCTGTGTTGTCTCTCTGCAAGGTGGTTTACATTTGAAACTGGAGGACGGGAGCACAGGTCAAGAAGTTGGAATCACAGGCGTCTTAGTCAGGGTTACTGCCGCTATGATAGTAATATGACCAAGGCAAGTTGGCTACGAAAGGGTTTATTCTACTTATGCGTCCACACCATAGATTATCAGGAAAGGAAGTCAGGGCAGGAACATGGAGGCAGGAGCTGGTGCAGAGGCCATGGAGGGAGTTGCTTACTGGTGTTCCTTCATGGTTTGCTCAGCCTGCTTTCACCAGCTTAGGGATGACACCACCCATAACAGGCTGGGCCCTCCTGCATTGATCACTTATCAAGAAAATGCCCAGCAGCTGGAGGCATTTTCTTAGGTGAGGTTCCTGCCTTCCAGATTACTCTAGCTTGTGTCAAGCTGACATAAAACCAGCCAGCACAATAGGGAACACATCTTTCTTCTGAGGGTACCACAGGACACACCAGTCACTTGATCCATATTGCCCGGTGACTGTTTTGGAACAATTATGTCAGCTTTGACTTTCTAAGTCCCTAGGACCAGGGGGTAGGGAAGGAGCCCTGGGGAGGGTAAGCTCCTGCTGGACTTCATGTTTGCATTCACTGAGTTTTCCTCCCGAACTTTTTTGAAAGTCTCACAGGGGTGCTGGCTAAAGTGTGGATGCCCAGCATCCAATGGCTACATTCTAATTTAGCTGAAATTGGAGAGAGGGCCTAGGAATCTGCATTTAGTAAGCAGACAGTGTGCTTCTGTGTATAATTTTTCCTTGGTGGTTCCAGGAATTGATCCTGGTACCTTGTAAAAGCTAGACAAGGGCTCCACCACTGACTATAACCCCAAACCCCAGGTTTCTGATTCAGGTTTTGATAGGGTTACTTTATGAATTACTTATCCAAGCTGGGCATGGTGGTGCACACCTGTAATCCTAGTACTTGGGAAGCTGGGACAGGAGGAGGGAGAGTCCAAGGCTAGCCTGGGCCACATAGAGAGACTGTGCCTCAAATTAAAAAGGAAGAGAGGGGGCTGGAGAGATGGCTCAGTGGTTAAGAGCACTGACTGCTACGCTGGAGGTCCTGAGTTCAATTCCCAGCAACCACATGATGGCTCACACCCATCTATGAGATCTGGTGCCCAGAACACTATATACATAATAAATAGATTTAAAAAAAAAAAAAAGGAAGAGGGCTGGAGAGATGGCTCAGTGATTAAGAGAACTGCCTGCTCTTCCAAAGGTCCTGAGTTCAATTCCCGGCAACCACATGGTGGCTCACAACCATCTGTAATGAGGTCTGGTGCCCTCTTCTGACCTGCAGACGTACACACAGACAGAATATTGTACACATAATGAATAAATAAATATAAAAAAAAAAGGAAGAGAGGGCTGGGTTGTGGTTCAGTGGTGGAGATCTTGCCTAATAAATATAGCCTGTGCAACTCTGAAAAATATAAAAACAAAAACAACAAATAACAACAGCAAAAATCAAACAACAACAAAACCCCTGATCCATTAGGACATAAATGTGTGCTCCAGCTATTTTTGTTTTAATATCACCTTGAACTTTGTTTTAATAGCACCTTGAACTTGTGCTTGTGAGTACAAGGACACATTCTGCTTTGGATCCAGGGATTGAACCCAGGTCCTCAGGTTTTCAAGGCAAGTGTTTGTCACCTTGCCAGCCCCTATGTGTATGTGGGTGATTTAGTTGGCTCATGGCTGTCAAGGTTGATGATATCCATCTTTCGGGGAGAATCCCAAGGTGGCTCGAGGCATCACATGTTGAGAGACAAGTTCCCTGTTGTTTCTGCTATTTGAGGGTGACAACTCCCTGCTCACAAACACCAACCTGAACATATGGATGATAATCAGTGTGCATTCCTCAAGAAATAAAAACACGCCACATGAACTTGGCCTTCACAAAGCCTTCTTGGTAGGGAAGAGAGGTTTGCTTCTCAGTAAAGTGACGATGAGGGCCAAACCCGGAGGAAGTTCTGATGGCTTTTCTGTGACGGTTACAAGATGGCTCCATTGCTCCAGCTGTCATATCCGCATTTAAGGCAGGAAAGAGAAGGATTCTGTGAGTGTGGAGAGATGAAAGCTTCACATTTTTGGCTTCAGGAAGCAAAGACTTTCCTGTGGTAACCTTCCTTCTCAACAGCAATGTTCAGTTATGTTTTCTTGGCCGTAGCAGGGTCAAAGGTTCTAGCTGCAAGGGAGGCTGGACAGAGAGCAGTGGAAAAGCCATCATTTTCCTTGCCCGGGATGACCCCTGTGCTACCATATAAAGTCAAGGTTCTGGTTTCATGGGGTTGGGTGAGACACCAGTGACACCAACTCCACATTTTATCAGTGGTTATTTTGATGGAGAAGAAAATCGGGCTGTGGAGTTTGAGAGAGGCTGGCCTCCTAGCTGCTCTGCTTTATGTTGGATACAAAGGGAAACATTTTAGCCAAACTGACAATCTTGAGTAATAACTCCTGCCTCAGCAGGGGTCGTAGGGGTCACCAATGGTGACACTTTCAAAGACACCAATGAACTAAAGTGTCATTAGGTACTAAGCAGACAATAGGGCATAGGCAGATAGTATTTATTACTCTTCCCTTAGTTGCTACTGAATACTGTTGCAAAGTTCTTTAAAAGAAGGTTTGTTGCTGGGCGGTGGTGGCGCAGGCCTCTAATCCCAGCACTCGGGAGGTAGAGGCAGGCAGATCTCTGTGAGTTTGAGGCTAGCCAGAGTTACATAATGAGTCTCTGTCTCACAAACAAACAAACCAGTCACAGCCCATCAGGATGGGAAAGCGTGGTGACGGAGACATAAGGCAGCGGGTCTTGTTCAGTCAGTAGTCAGGAAGCAGAGAGCAGATATCAAACTTAAGACTCGCCCTTCAGTGACTCACTTCTATCAGCTAAGCAACAGTTTTTTTTTTCTAAGCAACAGTTTTAAAGCAACGGTTCTCAACCTGTGGGTTGTGACCCTTTTGGGGTTGAATATCAGATATTCCACATATCAGATGTTTACATTACAATTCATAACAGTAGCAAAAATTATGAAGTAGCAACGAAATAATGTTATGTTTGGGGGTCACCACAATATGAGGAGCTGTATTTAGGG